TTGCAGCCACCGGGTCAGTCCAGCTTGCCCAGGTCTTCTGCTTTTTGGCTGCCCCTCTACTTTACCAAGCACGGGGACGGGGCACTCAACCACAAGTCCAAAATGCATGAGACAAAGCCCCCCAATCCTTGCCTCTAAGCAGCATTCTGGCTGTGCTTTTTCCAAGACAGGTCTGTTTGTTCTTTGGCCAGTCCCAGCTACTTTCGATATTCTCTGCCAGCACCATAATCCAAATGCATTGACTTTTCTTTGGTCTTCATTAGTCAGTGTCCCACTTTCACATGCATGTGAGGCCATGGAAAATAGCATCAGCCGGGTCAGGTACACCTTAGTCCTGAAAGGAAAATATCTGCTCTCCAACACTTTAGCATGTTGAAAGGCCACTATACACATGGACTTCTCTAAATGAAGCACACAGAAATCAAATTGACTGCATCTATGAGAAAAGATGAGGCTCTCAGAGAGGTCAGCACCAGCAGCTAGACCCAGGTAGGGGGGGGCTACTGTGGAACAGACCAGCAATTGCTTGTGTGTAACTTCAGGTTGAAGCTGATGAAAGCTAAACAAGTCTGTGAAAGCCAAAATCTGACTTCGAGTGTAGCCCACCGAGTTCTGGGAACATCTAAAGGACAGATTTGACTCATTGGACAGTTATGACCACTCTGGGAGGATATAAAAACATCTTACATGAAGAGAGCAAATGGTCCTTCTACAGACAAGAAGGAAAGAAAGAAAAGGTCCAAATGGATGTCAAAAGAGATCCTGAAACTTACTCTTAATCATAGAGCAGGTAAGGCGAATGGAAGAAATGATGAAGTCAAAGAGCTGAACAGAATATTCTGAAGGACAACTAGAGAAGACAAGGTGAAATATTAAAATGGAACATGCAAAGACCTAGCGTTAGACAGCCACAAAGGCAGAACACTCGCTATATCTTAAAATGAAAGAACTAAAGAAAATATTCAAATCTAGAGTTGCAATATTAAGAAACATGCTGAGCAAAATATTGAACGGTGCAGAAAGCATTAAGAAAAAAAAAAGATGGAAAGACTACACAGAGACACTGTACCAAAAAGAACGTTTCACCAGTAGCACCTGAGCAAGAACCCGTGACACTGAAGAAGTCCAAGGTGCACTGAAGGCCATTAGGCAAAACAAGGCTCCAGAAATTGCTGGATTACTATTGAAATGTTTCAACAAGCTGGGCAGCACAGGAAGCAATCATCCATTCCAGGAAGACGGCTACTGGGCCAACTGACTAGATAGAGCAGGTCCATTCTTGTGCCCATTCCCAAGAAAGCTAACCCAACAGAATGCACAAATTATAAGACAATGGCATTAATGCCACATGCTACCTTGATGGTTCAGTAGAAATGCCACGACTAAATATTGTCCTCAGGTGAGCATTCCTTCTCCTTGAGTAGTGCCAAACTGTTTGAAAATCTTCATTTGTGATTTGTGTATTTAATACACATAAATTGCATTTTCTGCTTCTTTACTTCAAGTTGTGCTTTTGAGGATATTTTACATTTAAAATGGGTGTAGCAAAAACATATCAAAATCACTTACCAAGAAAACTTGGTTTCAGGAAAGTCCTAGAAATATTTTAAAAGAGAATGTTTTGTGCCTATGTGGATTTAAAAACAGCATAGTAGAAAATAATTTTTATTTTTACATGTATAATAATTGTATCAACATGGAATCAAAGAGCTTGGAGCTGAAAGTCTCTGGTGAATTCTTGACTTTGTTTTCACATTCAAATATTATTACAACATTCATATAATGACTTTCAGGACAGCGAAAGGACAGAAACTTTAATTTCTACAAGGTACAAGGTTAATTAATTTCGTCACCTATCTCTATGCTGCATCATGTAATAGCAGAACTGATTTAAAAACACTTGTTGAGTCCTAGAATGGGGTTGTCAATTTGGTACCAAGGATTGATTTTTCATGGTATGAACAATTAGTATTGCCGATTTAGGATTTGAAGGAAACATTCTTGAGGAAAATATTTCCCCCTGCTTGTAGAGAATAAGAAAATATTTCATTATACTTTTCTTCATTTTCTAATGTGGGTTTCTTTTCATTTCTCATTTCCTTAGAAATCGCACAAAACTCACTGCCTTCAAGTCCAGGCTGACTCAGAGCAAGTCCTGTGGTGTAGTTTAGAGTTACATCTGTGAGTTTCTGAGACACTAACTCTTTATAGAAAGCCTCGTTCTTCTCCAGAGGAGCTGCCTGGTGGTTTCAAACTGTTGACCTTGCGGTTAACAACCCAGCTCATAAATACCATGCCACCAGGGCACAGAGATGAACAAATGTAAGAGGGAGAAAATATGGTGAATAGTCTAGCAATATTTAGAGACAGTAGGGGACTGATTCCAGTTTGCATATTAACATAATTATTTAATATAAAGAAGTGTGTCGGGAATCTGGTTGCTTGGTGTCTATTGTATTGTTGGGAGCCTTGGTAGCATATTTCTGAGTTGGGCTGTGAACTCCAAGGTTGGCAATTCAATATCACCAGCCACTCCTTGGGAGAGAGCCGGGGCTCTCTCCTCCTGTACAGACTCAGACACTCCCGGGGACGTTCTGCCCTGTCTTACAGGGCCCCTCTGAGTGGGCATCCAACCCATGGCAGCAAGCTGTCTGTTGTGTTGCGTTGCTCGTCAGATCACTGACAGCTAAAAATCACTGATAAGGATTTAAACTTCCCAGGACATTTTCACAACTGTTAAGCACCTCGGAGACCCTTCCTAGCATCGTCGAGTCAGAATTCGTAATGGGTTGTGGGTTGAAAGCAGCAGAAATAAACAAAATCACGTTGGTAGTTCTCAGAAAATCCACAGCTCTAAGCTCCTACCAGCCTAGGGTTTTACTTCACGTGCAGTGCCAGTTTTAGTTTTACATTTAAACTCCCGTTCATTATCTTATCTAATCAATAGTAACGATGTTTCTAGAGTGTTCTGGGTGGTCAGCAAATAAGTCTGAACTCCATTAGGGATGTGTTTCTGATGGCTAACCGTTCTCTCAGACCCCTGCCATTGATGAGGTACTTCAACGGTGGCTAGTTCTCAACCCAAACACTTTGCAGCCATGCTCATCTGTCCGTAGACAAGATGGGCTTGTTCTTCTCCACACATTTTGACAGCGTTCATCATCTGCCCAACAGATCCGATCAGTCCTGTAAAAGCCATTATGGTTGACTGCAAAAATGCAAATATACTTCCTTACTGAGAAGCATATTTATGCAATATTATAATGGATTGTTAGAATGTACATTATGCAAATGTTATATAGTATAAAGAAATCTTTTGGAAATGATTGCCAGAGTTTTCGCTCTCCAGTACACACACCTGGTTTTGTTGCTAGCTGCCATCAAATGAGTTCTGACTGAGAGACTCTCTGTATAATGGAACAAAACACTCTCTTCCTTCACCATCTTCACAATTGCTACGTTAGAGACCATAGGTGCAGCCATTGTGTCAGCCCATCTCATTGAAGGTCGCCCTCTTTTTTGTAGAGCAGACCCTCTACTTTACACAGCATGAAGTAAAGGAACTGGTCTCTCCTGCTAACATGTCCAAAGTACATGAGATGCAGGAGCATTCTGGCTGGTCCTTCTCCAAGACCTTGTTCTGGCAGTCCACAGGATTTTCAATATTCTTTGCAAACACCATATGCAAATGCCTCAAATCTCTGGTCTTCCTGATTCATTGTCCAGCTCTCACATGCATCTAAGACCTTTGAAAACACCTGGGCTTCGTCTGGCACACCTGAGTGCTCAAAGTGACTAAGCAACCGTGAAAGAACTTTGTAACGTTTTCTGACTGAATGACTCTACGCTGAACATTTCTCACAGTGTTGGAACTTGTGGACTTCCACTGCAATGTGTCTTAGAACCAAGTAGCTGAAAAGTAAAAAGTCTGGGGAGAAACATACCTGAAAGTGGAGGATGGTATGGAAGAGAGAACACACTATAAACTAGGGGCTGTGTCCGCAATTTCTCTCTACACTACCTATAATGGAATGGGTGACTTCAATATTGTGGGAGAACAAAGAAAAGCACTACACTAAGACTGCATTTTATGGAATTTATGAGGTGACTCCAATAGCCAAACAACCACTGTAAATTATGTCATAATCCAATGCTACTTTAGGGTCTATTTTCAGGATTCCTGTGAAAGAAATGTAACACTCCTAATATCGGGGTCATATGTAAACTCATGTGAGGTTAAGTTAACCTTACTGTGTTAACCTTCTCTTACTTAGCTGACCCAAACTACACTTTCTGCGATTCTCACTGAGCCCCGTGATGGCTGAAATGTACAATAGAATGTGCAGATCATGACCCCTCATCCCTAAAAGTGTGACATGCATGTGAAGTGCCTGATCTCATACTGTGTGTGACTCTATGTGTGACTCATGAGTACGTTGTGGAATCGTTCTTACGTTGCTCAGGGTGAATTTGCCCCAGGTGTGGAATCCCACAGATATCCCTTTTTGTGTCCGTGTGCCTACTTGATACAGAGTTTCCTTTCCCCCAGAGTTCCATCATTTATACCTGGTGAGCACCTGTTTTCCCAAGTGATGGCAGTATTTCAAGTAAGACTTTATTGCTGGGTGATAGTATGCTTGCTTATCCAGAATTTCAGTGTCAAGCATAACATTATGCACATAGTAAGTGCTTAACCACATTTGCTAAATGAATGCATCGAAACAAAAGCCAAAACAAAATCCAGATGGGTAATGTATCTCGGTTTTCAGTGCTAATGTTAAACACCGAGCCCTGGAGAGGACGCTAGCTCTGTGGTTAGTAGGACGCACAGTCCCGGGATGAATTTGTTGGGGAGGCTCCTGTCAGGTGGTGATCTCAATCCCTGGGCAACCTGTCATTCTATCTGAATATTGTCAGATTTGACCGGTGAGTGGTTTACTTCTGAGCATCAGCCATACCTTTCTCTTTCTCGCCCTCTGTCTTCTGTTTGTGGTCTCCAGCTCCGTGCGAAGGCAATGCTTTCTTCTGTCACAGTAACATGTGCATTAACAACACCTTGGTCTGCAACGGACACCAGAATTGCGTGTATCCTTGGGACGAAAATCATTGTAAAGGTATGATGACTTGTCCTTGAGACTCAACGTCTGCTGCCTGGGGTGGGGAGCAGGGAGCAGGGCGTTATGTACCTTGCAATCTCTCGAGACAGTGTTGATAATGACTTTTAAAGGCATCTTGGTGGAGCAGCGGCTAAGCACTCTGTGGGTAACTAAAATTTTGGGTGGGGGGTGGCTCACCAGCCCCTCCGCTGGGGGAGGACCTTGTGCTCTGTCCCCACACAGCTTACAACCTTGGCATTTGAGCCTTTTGTGTCACATGGGGCCAGCCAAGGGCTCACAACCACAATGAGTTTCGTGAACTCGGTGCTTGTTTGACAGAGGCTTGGTGGCAGAGTGGATTAAGTGTAGGTCCGCTAACTGCCAGATGAGCAATTCAAACCCAATAGCTGGGGGGGTGGGTGTGGGGGGAGGCTTGCTGCTCTTGTAACGATGCCTTGCCCTGGAAGCCCAAGGAGGTAGTTCCACTCTTCCCTGCAGGTCACGGTGAGCCAGACGTGTATCGATGGCAGTGAGGTCTTTTGTTTTGCTTTGGGGTTGGCGGCATAAGGGACAGGCCCTCAGCTGTTGGCCAGCTGCGTGGCCATGCTGACCCAGCAGCCACTCCTCGGAACAAAGAAGAGGCAGTGGCGTCCAGAGATGACAGCCTGGGGAAGCCACCGTGGCAGCTCTGCTCTGTCCTAGTGGGTCTCCCTGAGTCAGAATTAACTGGGCACCAGTGGGTTTTGCATAACTGCACTTAATTCCATGTGTAGAAGAAGTCAGGTGCATTTACATTATAATGTAAACTGCTTTGGGGCTAGTAAGCATTCTCCTTGGCCTTCACTCATGTGGGCTCCAGAGCTTTCTGCACGGATTCCAGCTCAGGGACATGTCGGGAGCGTTTCTCTCAGAGCCCGCTGAGGCAAGGAGAGGGTTGTTGTATGGTGTTCTCTGTTCCTGCTTCTGAAATGGTGCACTTGATACTAAGCAGAACTCACCAGTCTCCAGGTTAGAGTGCTCTACTCCTTGTTCGCATGATCCCATTTGGTGTGAATTACAAACACTGTGTATAGAAGAGGCACACAAAGCAAATTCCCTTCACCACAGATATAATTCACATATCACATACACAGTTAAAAGATATGATTGGATAGTTCATATTGTTTTCAGAGTTGTGCACAAAATTGCCACAATACTTTTTAGAACATTTTCATTACCCCAACAAAGAGACCTGATCTTCATTAACAATCACTCCTCTGTCATCCCAACACACAAGCCCAGTTTAAATCTCAAACCAGGCCACTGCTATGTAGTGGATTCTGACTCCCAGGGACCGATCTATATGGTTTCCAAGAATGTAAGCCTTTTCCGGAGCAAACAGACTCACCTTTCTCCCAAGAAGCAGGGGCTTCTACAGGGTTTGCTAGCATCTTAGGCAACTACTTTCTGTTCTGTCGATCTGCCTCTTCTGATTGTTTCATGTGAAGGGCATCATAAAAGAGGTATTTTGTTGTTGGTTGTTTTTGTTTTGCTTGGTTTTGTTTTATAATGAACATCTTTCACTTCATGTGTTTCAGTACCTCCTTTCTGTTTAATTCAGAGTACTATTCCATTATGAATACATACCATACATCATGCCATTTATTTTGTAACAACATCCAGTCTGATGGACATTTGGGTTGTTGCCACTTTGGGGCTATTATATATAATGCTTCTTTGAGCATTTTGTATGTTGTGGAGATATGTTTTCATATCTCTGGGGAATACATCTAGAATCCAAATGACTGAGTCATACGGTAACTCCCTGTGGGTACACTTCAGTAATGGATAGAATGGTTTCTGAAGCTGATACAACATCTTTCATACTCATCAACAGAGTTTGAAGTTTCCAAGTTCTTCACATTCTTTCTTGCAATTACCTGCCTTTTAAGTTACAGCCATTCTAGTCAGGTAAATGGGCAAGTCATTGGACCATGTGAACAATGAATTAATTCGGATAGTCACTAAGAGATTGGAGATTTACATTTACCCTGAGGTGTGTAGACACCATGTCCAAAGTATGTGAAGCAAAGTCTCTCCATCCTTGCCCCTAAGAAGCATTCTGACTATATTTCTTCCATGACAGATTTGTTTGTTCTTTCAGCAGTCCGTGGTACTTGCAAGTTCATTCCCAAAGGGCGTGCTGAATGTCTTAGGAGGCCTTCTCCCAGAGTGTTTGTACCTCCATGTATGCACTAGTGCATATTGTCACAGGGATACTGGGCAATTGGAAAGCAATTTTAAAGGAGATGTAGCCCTCATAAAATTGAGACTTCTGTGTGTTTTCTCTGCTATTTTAAATTCTATGAACACCTTGCTTAGCCTATTTCATGTTTAGGTTCCATACATCCTCTTTGATTATACTTCTTAAGGTGCCTTGGGTCTGTTTCTGTTCTCTTCCTTTTCGGGGGTTCCACTCTCCCTAACCTGCAGAAAAAAGGAAAACCAACCTTCTGGACCAGCTGACCAACACCAGCGGGACGGTCATTGGCGTGACTTCCTGCATTGTGATCATCCTTATCATCGTCTCGGTCATCGTGCAGATCAAACAGCCTCGGAAGAAATACATCCAGAGGAAACTAGACTTTGACCAGACGATATTCCAAGAGGTGTTTGAGCCTCCGCATTATGAGTTATGCACTCTCAGAGGGACGGGGGCGACAGCTGACTTTGCAGATGTTGCCGATGACTTTGAAAATTACCATAAACTACGGAGGTCATCTTCCAAATGCATTCATGACCATCACTGTGGATCCCAACTGTCTAGCACTAAAGGCAGCCGCAGTAACCTCAGCACAAGAGATGCTTCTGTATTGACAGACCTGCCCCCTCAGCCCATCAAACCCCTCATCCCGCCCATGAACAGAAGGAACATCCTAGTCATGAAACACAACTACTCCCAAGATGCTGCAGATGCCTGTGATGTTGATGAGATTGAGGAGGTGCCCACCACGAGTCACAGGCTCTCCAGGCACGAGAAAGCCGTCCAGCGGTCAGTACCCATTGGTTTTTTGATGGCCACTATAACCTGAGGACTGAAATACCTCCAGAATGCCATGCTCTGTTTCGTCTTTCTCTCTGAGTTCCTCTTCTTACCAGTGTCTTAAACCATGGGATGTCAATTTTTTTCCTCTTCTTTTTCTTCTCATGGCTGCCCTGTCCTTGCATCCCATAGATTTATAGGATGTGGATATGTGTGTGAAGAAACGTTCTCACACACCAATGAGAACTTATTTATATCTCTGCTCATACCGTATTTATTTCTACAGAGATTACAGATTTTAATTTATAATGCAAATTTCTGTTTCTCCTTGGCTTTTGCATATTGAAAAGGAGATCATGAATACTGCTCCCATCTATAGCTGTATATTTGAAGATAGGTAATTCTCCTTGGGAACAGCTGCCTTATTAAGATGGGCTAGTCCATCTTGCTGAATAATTTTAATGTAAGAGTACTGTTCTTTGCAATATAACATATTTGGATATTAAATTGAAAATACTTTTTTTCACATATAACACAATACTTACATTATAAATGCCTTATGATGACATAGTCTGCTAAAATACTAATTATGTATATTTAAATTTAAATGCACTCATAATTAATAGAAAATGTTCATTTAAAAAATTTAGATAGTATTGTCTGAGCTGTATTTTAAGTATTAAAATGATGAAGTTTTGAGGAAAGAACATTTAAATTTTTAGAAAATAATTATTTTACATTGAGAAGATCTAGCCTATTTATGTTTGTTTTGCATGTTTATTAGCATATAGGTTGCTTTAGAATTTCCTTTACTTTCTCAATGCATTGTGCATTCTTAAAACCCAACATAACTTTAGTCCACTTAATACATTTTGCATGTTAATGGGAAAACTTTATTTCCCGAGATTTTTTGAAGGGGGTGCCTTAAGACTACTTTAAAGTCAATATCTGTGTGCATCTATGTATTTTATTGTGCAAATATTACTTTGTTGAATGAAATAGCCATAACATTCCAGGTTCTGCCTCATCGGGTCTCTAAGCAAACATGAATCTGAATACAACACCACTAGGGTCTAAGAAGAAAATTCAAGGTAAGAAACACCCTTGGGGCTTCTTCTCACTTCGTTGTATTGCTTCATTCCGTTGCACTCATTGTCTAGGAGTCGCTAGGGAATGTGCTTTCGTCCTTTACATCTGAGGACATGTGTCAGGAGAGTTCACATTTATATGACGAATCCAGCCCGAGTTAAGAAGTGATTCTCAGCACCCACTTCTTTGAGACGCATCATCCAGTGCTATTAGAATGAAGTAGTCTCTAACAGGAGTTCAAAAGATGATCGCTTCAAAATGAAAGCGTTGAACAGAATGAACTGCTCAACAAGTTAACAGGAGAAACCCCAAGGTCTTAGTCATCAAAAGTATGAATAGTCACTTTTCATAGAACTGATGTCAGCGTTGAAAGTTACTATTGATTTTGCTGACTTGATTTGGCTATAGTTGACTCATGATTGATACCGTCAGTGCTTGCTAGAACTTACACAGGTGTGTGCGCTTTTATTTAGTTATTGTTGCATGGATGTGTGGCTTTATCAAAATTCAATGCAGCATGTTCCATCAAATTGTATGGCATGACATTTGAATATGTGATACTGTGCAGCGTTTATAGAGCACCGGTGGTCTGTGTGTGCATCTTTCATCAGCGAACACCATCATGGCTTTGCTCTCTGCACTCCATTGACAACCTGCTAGCTGCCTAATCTGTCTCCCGTTGAATTTGCTCCACAGTTAATCTCTTCAGGCCTCCCACCCATTCTTGAACTAGGTGAATGCATCTCCATGCTCCATCCTACCTGATAAATTGACCTGTCTGTGTGCTGCTTTCCCCCCTCATTGGGAGAAAATGTTTTAACTGTGCTTTATTTTCAGAGAAGAACTATTTGTACACACATGAGACTGTGACAAGGAAATTCTGTAGTGAATTGTGAAAAGTGGACATATTTCTAAATCCATTCCACTGCCTCTATCCAAAATTACGAACCACAGACATGTGTTAGCCCTTCGGCAAGACATCCCCGCTGCACAGTGATACGTTCATTTCCTAATTTGGTCGCTGGCCACCAAGTGCTCCTTAGTTTCTAAACACGTTTTGAGATTTTACTGGAAACTTGAAGAAGAAATTAGTTCCTGATTCAGACTACTACCCCAACTTTAGTTTTTACTGTCGGTTCCACTTTGGTTTCTCTGTTGTTTTGCGTCTTTGTTATATAGTTGTAGATTGTGTGCTGTGTGGAAAGAAAAACAAACAGAAAACACCTCGATTTTGGATGAACTTTGCGTTCCTTGTACGTTGTTTCCATGATAGACATCTTGAGAACCGTGAGGCCTCCAGTCGGGACCCACGTGCAACTTTGCCAGGGGAAAACATGGACTGCGACCACACCAGCTAGAGGTTTTATGGACTCTCGGCTTCTCTTTGCTTATTGCCATTAGAAAAGACAGTCATGCGTGGCATTGCCGGATTGCAATAAGGAAAAAACATCATGGTTTTGGTCCTTCCTGTATACCACTGCCTGCCTCCACGTTCATTTTTGTTTCATGTTAAAGGATGATGCCAATGTTCAGAAGTGAATTTTAATCAGGTAATTTTCCAACGGTACCCTACGCTAGAAATGTTTTGGGGTTTTCTTTCTTTCTTTGCCTTTTGGTTAAGCATTTATCAATATGAGTGAATCGACAGTTTGAGAAAAACCCTTGCATGTCAGTACTGGATATTTGAGTTGGGAAAATATCCTTTTTATTAGACATTGTAAAAAGCATGCATTCTCAGAATACTGCTGTTACTCTTCCATTTCTTTATGTCATATGCTTGCGACTTGTCACTTTTGATATAAAGATATATAAAAATGTGTAATAATTTCCTAACTTGAGTTAAGAGAAATGTTTTCTTCCATCGAGTCAGGGGTGGGGCACACATGGGGGTGGGGAAGGACTGACAGAGGGGCACACCTTGCATAAATAAACACCTTCCACAGAGTAGGTGGCCAGATGGCCACTTAGTGCGTCCTTCCTCCAATGTTTGATTTCTGAACTTTTATGGAATCTGTTCTCATTTTGAAATACAAAAAAAAGTCTTTTTAAGATGCTTTAAAATCACAGGCCCTTTGGTGACCCAAATTACAGCATTCCAAATTAATATAATCCTCAGGCACACATAAGACACGGGAATTTATTGACTTTCATTATGTTTCCTATAAATAAAACAGGTCTTATAATGTATTTAATTGCTCTGGTATTATTATATGTATGCTCTGTCAAAGTTTGATAGAGTGAGTGGGTAATTTTTAAAAAGATGTTGTATATGTACCCTTATCAAAGAAATTTCAGTAAAACGGAAATACCATATAATCTGGTTAGCATATTTTCAAGATGGCATAACATTTGAACTACCACAATTCAAGCCTGTCACCAAATTCATTAATTACTAACATTGATCCTTGCTAGAAATCCAGTCTCATATGTATTCATAAATAAGTTCGTGGTGATTGAGATTTTCTAATATGAAAACGAGTTATATTAATATTCCACATTAATACATCAATCTGGATAAATAATCACCCCATGTATTTGACAAATGGGTGAACTTTAAAAAAGAAAAAAGTTAGTTTCTCCCGCTTCATATGTAATTTGAACATGATAACAAATTATTTGTCATTGCATATTTTTTATTCATATTTCTTATGTTAAAATTCACCTTTGGTAGAAAAAAAGTTTGGCCTGATGGGTTAACTATTGCACGTACTCTTACACCTTCTGTTGAATGTCAGGGTAGCCAGGCATTGCTTTAAGCAATGACCAGCAGGGGGTTATACTAGCTTTTCTATTTAGAAATTGGTGTCGCACAATTTGCACCGTTTTCCTTTCCTGTGGGAAAGGAACGTAGGTGAACCAGTGGCAGCTCACCGCATAGGAAGCCACTGATGGAGCAGGACAGGCCTCAGAGCCACGCTCTTGTCTCAGTTAGGAACTCTAGATTCTGGAGGCGGGAGTGCATGCTTCAGTGGACCTGGGTTTATGTGGGGTTCTGATGGTGGTTATTTACAAACCAGTATTAAAATCTATCGATATATTAAAAGTTTACAATCCCTGGCCCTCTTCGGTTTCCTCTCCAGAATACCAGTCTTTGGCCCACCTTGGAAGGGGAAGACATCTGTAGGTAGAGAATAAGTCATTCCACAACAATTTTCCAATCAAGTTATTTGAGTGATTCTATGGACTAGAGAAAGTGGAGTCTGGGGGTGGCTATTTAAAATCCAGTATTAAAATCTATCACTATATTAAAGATTTTTAAATCTCTCTCTCTGTTCCATTTTCTTACCCAAATACTTATCTTTGGCCCTCCTCAGAAGGGGAAGACATTTGTAGGTAGAGAATGAGTTCTTTTATGATTTTCCAATCAGGTTATTTGACTGATTCTAAGGATTTGAGGAGGTGGGTTCAAATATTATGGTTGCAAACACTTTTTTCATTCAATAAATCAGCCTTAAATGCTCTGGTTACCTAGCAGACACATCCTTCGAAGAGCAGCTATTTTCCTGTTGTCTGTGTCTGTTTGAATCCACTTTTCAAACTCTTGAAGTGAGTCAGATTAGGTAGAACTCCTTGTACACCCTGAGTGCATCTTTGTCAGCCCAGTTCCATCTGGCTGTGCTGATTTGAACAGCAGCTGGTTTTGTGTCGGATTTCATGTCCCTGCCATGTGCAGGCCTCATACTGCAACAGAGACAAGTGGTGTCTAAGTTTCCTAAGGAATTTCCATTCAGTGAGGTCGTTACAGTGTGGCTCTCTTCATTATTGGAGTGAATGCCCTGGGCTCTTTCTTTCTTTCTTTTTCTGAGAAAGTTGGATACATTTTAATTTTTGACTTCTAATTGTTGCCAAAAATGTCAACCAACTCCTAAAATCGTACTAATTATGGAAAAAAAAACAACAGTACGTTTTCCTGCGTGTGATAGGCAATGCTCACTGCCATTCATCAGTTTGATAGCCCTTAAGAGCATGATCAGAGCCTGTACTAGTTACCTACTTATGCGGTGTGCTTATCCATATTGGAAATGTTGTTTCGGAGCGTCACGTTATTTCTGAGTCATCAACAAAGAAGCACTCGGCCATTCCCCGCGAAACAATCCCCAGTAGCTCCTCAGCCTTGACAGGAAGCACGGCCCTCGGTGTGGAGACACTTACTGCGTCAGATTCTTTGTTATTTCTATTAAAGATATTTCAATGGTTTTAACAGGCTCCATTGCCTGGGATCTTGGTATTTAATAAAACAGAGTCTTGGATGTACTTGAAAACTCACATAAGCTGTTTTGTCTCTTTCCCTTAGGAATGTACCATTTCTTCAAATTTTATATCTTTTATAAAACGTCCATGATTGGTTTACCTTGACCTTAAAATATGATATAAATGACAAAATATGACTGTCTTTTCCTGTCACTGTCACTGAAATAATGCCAAATAAGTTAGCAATGTCTGGGAAGTGGAGTGAATAGTAGACTTCATCTTATTGAGTTCATGTGCGCTTCAACGATGAAAACAAATCCCGTCTACCATCAGCAGTTTGAAACTTCCAGCCACTCTGCAGACAAAGCTGGCACTTTCTGCTCCAGGAACTAGTACAGTCTCCGAGGGCAGTTCCAGGGAGGTGTAGGATGGGGTCCTTTTCAGTTTTCTGAGTCCTCAGTGTTTGGGTTTTTAGGACAGAGTGCAAATTTTCTGTCACTTCACAGGAGCAAATTCGTTCTGGTGCCTCATTCCCCTGACCACCCTCTCCTCTCTGCTCAGCACTGCCGATCACCATGCTGAAACCGTAGATCCAGCTAATCAATAACTTGATAAATCAATAAAAAGAAGAGAGGAAAAAGGAAAAACCCTCCAACTTGAGTTGATTCTAATTTTCATTCTTATAAAGAGGACCTCAAAATTTTCATAGAAAAAAAGTCATTATCTTGTAACTCCATTTTTCCTTGAATTCCTTTTTATAATTATAATTTATGATCGAATACCCTT